GGGTGAGGGTAAGATTTTTATTGTGGATATGAGGGAAAGTACAGCCAGAGCTATCTAGAAGAGTCCAGAGCAAAGAGAGAAAGTAGTGGACTAAACATGGCCGGCCAGTAGACTGAACCAAGCCATGAGAGGAGAGAGAGGAGAGAGGAAGAGGGGCAAGAGAGACCAGAGAACTGAGAGCCAGAGAACCAAGAGAGCAAAGAGAACGTGTGGCCAAATGGCAGGGTTATATAGGAAGAAGCTGGGGGAAGGGAGGCGAAGCCAGTGTGCTGGAGAGGTCTAGGGTAGGGGCAGGTGAGAAGAGCTGAGAGGAGCCACAGGAACTGTGTGAGCCTGGAGACATGCATATGCTTTATTTGGTATGCGGCACCACAGTCAGCCTTTTGTCCCAAGTTTCTTTTGGATCTGGCCGTCCTCTCCTTCCATCTCGGATCTTATCTCAAACTCAGTTCGTAAGGGTTGTATAGCAAGCTTGTCTACCCACTTGAGTGGCAGCCCTTTCTTTACATTTTTATTACATGTATAGCATGTGTGTATTGCGGGGGTGGGTGTGTTCCATGGTATATGTATGTAGGTCAGAGGACAATTGGCTGGAGTCGGTGCTCAAATTCATGTGGTCAGGCCTGGTGCAGGGTGTCTTGACCCCCTGAGCCATCTTGCTAATTTTTTGTTTTTTCTTTTTTAATTAAACTTATGATATTCATTAATTATACTCATGATATTAGTTACATTTGTGGTATTTATTGATTATAGTATTTATTCAATAATTATATTTATGATGTTCATTAATTACATTAATTGTATTGATTTATTACATTCATGATATTACGTCCTGATACTACTGTCCATTTGTGGGGTTTTTCCATCACACAAAACAGAGATTCTGTACTTAGGAAATCATTGCTCTATATTCCTTTCTTCTCCATCTTCAGATAACGTCTAATCTTTCTGTCCCTATGAATTTGCATAGTCTATATATTTCATGTTATACAGTTCTATAGTATTTGTCTTTTTTTTTAATGTAAAGACATTTTATGTACAACTGCAGGAGAAATAATACACAGATAGCTTGAACATAAAAACAGGTTATAATTCAAAAGTCCAGGGTTATTTCAAACTGGAAAATATTTTCTCTGTAGAAAATAGTAAAAATGATAACATTTCCCAATAAGCCCTTTTAAGCCAAATGATAGCTGAATTATACATATAAATATTGATCAGATTCTGGGATACAGAAGAAACCTATCTTCATCTGTTCAGAGAGCTATGTTTTACTCAAGTTGTGGAAGTGAGATTCCTATTCATCTTCCCCTTCACTGTTTGATTTACAGCAGACATTTTTCTATAGGCTAATCCATAATCTAAAAAGATTTTAGCCTCCTCTCCTGAAAGTATGGCCAGCATTTTCTTTCATCAGCTTGATACAGTACAATTCTTATCCTAATAGTGAAATGTTTCACGAAAGCTTGCCCAGTGATTGGGCAAAACCAAAACCTATTAGAAGCCACAGTCATCCTTGGGACCCCCTGCTAGGTAGCCTCCCTGGATCTGTGGGTTGCAATCTGATTGTCCTTTGCTTTAAATCTAGTATTCACTTATGAGTGAGTACATACCATGTTTGTCCTTCTGAGTCTGGGTTACCTCACTCAGGATGATATTTTCTAGTTCCATCCATTTTCCTGCAAATTTCATGCTGTCATTGTTTTTCTCTGCTGAGTAGTACTCCACTGTGCATATGTACTACATTTTTTTAATCCATTCTTCAGTTGACGGGCATCTAGGTTGTTTCCAGGTTCTGGCTATTATGAATAGTGCTGCTATGAACATAGTTGAGCATGTGTCCTTGTGGTGTGATTGAGCATTCCTTGGGTATATGCCCAAGAGTGGTATGGCTGGGTCTTGAGGTAGATTGATTCCCAATTTTCTGAGAAACTGCCATACCGATTTCCACAGTGGTTGTACAAGTTTGCACTCCTACCAACAGTGGAGGAGTGTTCCCTTTGCTCTGCATCCTCTCCAACATAGACTGTCATTAGTGTTTTTGATCATAGCCATTCTGACAGGTGTAAGGTGGTATCTCAGAGTCGTTTTGATTTGCATTTCTCTGATGACTAAGGGTGTTGAGCATTTCCTTAAAGGTCTTTCAGCCATGTGAGACTCTTCTTTTGAGAATTCCTGTTTAGTTCTGTATACCTGGAGTTTTCCTGCCTGGCCCACAGTCAGGACAAATCTCTCTCACCTGCCAGTCCCACAGCCACTCAGACCCAACCAAGTAAACACAGAGACTTAATATTGCTTACAAATTGTATGGCCGTGGCAGGCTTCTTGCTAACTGTTCTTACAGCTTAAATTAATCCTTTTCTATAAATCTATACCTTGCCACGTGGCTCGTGGCTTACCGGCGTCTTCACATGCTGCTTGTCATGGCGGTGGCTGGCAGTGTCTCTCTCAGCCTTCCACTTCCCAGAATTCTTCTCTCTCCTTGTCCTGCCTATACTTCCTGCCTGGCCACTGGCCAATCAGTGTTTTATTTATACAGAACGATATCCGCAGCAGTTCTGTAGACCAGTTTTTAATTGGATTGTTCAGTTTTTTGATGTCTAGTTTCTTGAGTTTTTTACATACTTTGGAGATCAGCCCTCTGTCAGATTTGGGGTTGGTAAAGATCTTTTCCCATTCTGTAGGCTCTTTTTGTCTTATTGACCATGTCCTTTGCTCTACAAAAGCTACTCAGTTTCAAGAGGTCCCATTTATTAATTGTTGCTCTCAGTGTCTGTGCTACTGGTGTTATATTTAGGAAGTGGTCTCCTGAGTGCACTTGTTTTTTATCCTAACTCCATTGGCTGGGGTCTGACCTCACAGCCTTTTGTAATTGGCTAGCTTTCAATTAATTTGAAAAGGGAAATGAAGGGCGGAGGAAGGGGATGGTCACTTTATTTGTGAGCATGCAACAGTGCTTTTGTGTAAACAAGGTTTTATTAGGTTGGATTGGGATTTTAAAATTTTAATTCCTCTTTGTAAATACAAGTTTTCCAGTGTTTGATAGAAAAGACTGATACTTAATGTTTCTTACACACTCATATGAATGGGGTAGACATGTCATCTGGAGCAATACACAACAACAGTGATTCACACAACTTAGAAGCAGTGGTTCTCAACCTTCCGGATGCTGCAACCCTTTAATACAGTTTCTCATTGTTAGGTCTCAAACTTGGGACAAACAGCTGAGGTGCCTATTTAATTTATCAAAGTGGGCCTGGCTGCCAGGTTCTCCCAGCATCCCTCAGTCCCTACCTGTTACAGGGTATGGCTGGCATACCCCACCCCTACTCTAAACTCCAGGTTGTTGGGGGGGCTGCCCTTCCCTATATAATCCAGCAATTTTGATTACCTGGCCCTCTTGGTCTACCCTTTACCCTCCTGATCTCTTAGCCAGTGTCTTGGCCCAGGCCGCCCCTCGGCAGCTCCTCTCTTGCTTTCTTTCCCCCCTCTCTTCTCACATGTTCACTCTGGGCCCTCCCAGATGTCCCTGCCTCTGCCTACAATCTCCCTTTTATCTACAATAAACCTTTTCCTCCACCATACTTAAGAACAGTCAGGTCCTTCCTTTTTGTTTCCTTCCTCCCCTTCACTCATGTTGTGGTGACGGCTGACCATAAGATTATTTCATTGTGTTGCTACTTCATAACTATAATTTTGCTACGGTTATGAATCATAATGCTAATAAGATATGCAAGATATTTGATATGTGAGCCCCCCCAGGGGTCATGACCCCCCCAAGTTGAGAACCACTGATTGGAGATGGAGGTATGAGAATGAACATTCTAAACAGGTAGGAAAACAAAAGAGAGGCCTGAAGGAAACTGTCAAAATTAGGGAAGGGTGGCGTCATGCAGTTATGAAGAGAGAAGAAAACAAGGAAGGTGAGGAGGCAGGGACATTTGGGTTGAGGCTCCACAGTGTTTTTTTTTTTAAATCTATTAAAGGCCGGGCGGTGGTTTTTCGAGAAACCCTGTCTCGAAAAAACAAAACAAAACAAAATCTATTAAAAAAAATTCATTTGTAAATTGTTCATGTTCCAATAAATAATGCCCCACCATGGCCATGCAAGCTACCCTAATTAAACTCAGTGGGTCCTAGCCAGTCTGTGGTGATGCACGGCTTTATTCCAGGCACTTGGAAGGCAAAGACAAGCATGTCTAGCTGAGATCGAGGCCAGCCTGGTCTACAAAGCTAGCCTGGTCTACAAAGCGAGTCCCAGCACAGTCAGGGCGGTTACACTGAGAAACCCTGTCTCGAAAACAACAAAAAACCCTCTGTGGGTCCTATTAAAAAAGGGGGGAGCCGGGCGGTGGTGACGCACGCCTTTAATCCCAGCACTCGGGAGGCAGAGCCAGGCGGATTTCTGTGAGTTCGAGGCCAGCCTGGTCTACAGAGTGAGTTCCAGGAGAGGCGCAAAGCTACACAGAGAAACCCTGTCTCAAAAAACCAAAAAAAAATAAAAAAATAAAAAATAAAAAAGGGGGGTGGGTGGGGAGGGGGGCTTGTTAAGAAAGGGTTCAGGGGGTATGAGATGGGGGGATGAGAGAGGGTAATGGGGATGGAAATGACCAAAATATAGTATATACAAATATGAAACACAGGCGAGGAACGTCCTTCTGGACTCTAGATGTTAATCAGGAAGCTGTCAGTCTTCGCCACCTTTCGGTGTATCTCCAAGGTCAGGGTCACCTCCGGCTTCCAGGCAACCTGTCACCTTGACGACAGAGCGTAGAAAACCGGAAGAGACGGAAGACCCACGTGATCTCGCGATATCTGGAGCGCCGGCTCCTGCCGGAAGCCTACGGCGGCGGCCGGCTCTCGCGAGAGTAGTGATCAGTCGGAGCGCGGGGGCCGGCCGTGAGGAGCACTGGAGTTACCGGAGGGGAACATGTCGGAGTCCGACCTGGGCAGAAAGTGGGACCGGTGCATGGCCGACGCGGTGGTGAAGCTAGGTGAGCGCGTCTCTCTCTGGTAGGCCCTGTCCGGAGCCGAGCGGCCCGCGCGCGGACGGAAAGCCGCAGGGGTCAGGCCGCGGCCTGCTGCAGCCCCGCGGTGCGCTCTGAGCTGCGGGGCGCCGACAGGTGACTGTCAACCCGGGCGGCGGGGACGGCTGGCGGAAGGGCGCGGGCGAGCTCCGGGGTAGAAGGAGGTGCAGGCTCGGGGGCGAAGCGGCGCTCGGGGAGTGGGAAAGCGTGCGGGAGGCGCCGTGGAGCTCTGCCACTCCATGCCACACGTCCCCTGCCGGAGCCCACCCTGCTCCCCAGCTGGGAGAAAGCTGCCTTCGGAAGAAGGTCAAAGCGGCGTTCTATAGCCTCCGCGGGGCCGCGGCGGGAATTGCTGTCGTGCGGGACGTCATTTATCTGAATCTGACTATCTCGGGTCTGGAATTGGAGACGGTGGTGATGCTCCGGAAGAACTGCCCCAGACAGTACGATCGTGGTCACTGCAGGCCTCCTTGTTACTCCAGGTTGTCTTTTCCACGCGAGTTCTGTGACGAAACACTTTATGAGGTCATGGGGTTGGGGAAGGAACACCGAGGGAATCCCACTTAGTGTGCTGCAGATGTTAGGCGTGCTGCTTGAAACTAGGTGTGAGTGTTTTTCCACGTTGTGAGTCCAGTGAAGCAATTTGCCTGGAATCTCATTGCTAATCTGTGGCATAAGTTTAGAATTTCCCCTAGGATTTCTGGCTCTGGGTCTCGGGATGGCGGCTGATCCTCCTCCTCTGCATCTTTCTCGTGTGTGTGTGTGTGTGTGTGTGTGTGTGTGTGTGTGTGTGTGTGTATGCCACCTGTGCCTTGCAGGTATTGATATGTAGGTCAGAGGTCGATGTGGTGTCTTACTCAATAGCTCTTTACCTTCATTTCTTTATTGAGACGGGATCTCAGTATGTAGCCCTGGCTGGCCTGGAAAGCTGTGTTGACCAGGTTAGCCTTAAACTCAAGAGACCTTCTCTGCTACTGCCTCGGGAGTGCTGGGATTAAAGGTGTGAACCTTCTGTTTTGAAAGGGGATCTCAGAAATTGGAACTCAACAATTTGCCAAAACTGGCTGCCAGTTGAGCTTTTTTTTTTAATTGCCTGTTTCTCCCTCCCCAGTAGGAGGATTTTTGCTTGGGTGCTGAGGATTCGAGCTCAAGTCCACATGCTTTTAAGGCAAGGGTTTTACCTACTGAGCTATCTATCTCCCCAGTCCCCCAAGTCTCTTTCTGCTGTACTAACATTTATTGTTGCAAATTAAAGTGCTTTTTCTTTGAGACAGGCTCTCCATGTACAGCCCTTGCTGGCCTCAAACTAACAGATCTGCCTGTTTCTGCCTCCTAAATGCTGGGAGTAAAGGTGTGTGCCATCACACATAGGTTCATATTTTATACTTACTGCATGGAAATTTTTTTTCAGAGAATTTAGGATTATATCCTTAGATGAAGATATCAGGAAAGAATAAAATCTGAAGCTTAGTGAAGTTCTAAGCTTAAGAATTTCTGTTTTTCTCACCCTTTTTCCCTGAACCCCAGAAGAGTGTAGTGTAGAAGTTATTCAGGATGAGCCTGGTCTCACACGACTTTAATCTTAGCACTTGGGAGGCAGAGCCAGGCGGATCTCTGTGAGTTTGAGATCATCCTGGTCTACAGAGTGAGATCCAGGAAAGGCACCAAAACTACATGGAGAAACCCTGTGTCGAAAAATTATTCAGGATGAATCAATACATGGAGTATTTTGTCACAGTTACTTTTTTCTCCCAGATTTAGCCTTAACCAGTTTTGCCACAAGGGGCAAGTTAGCTAATGACCCTACCCCTATTTCCTATTTTAAGTTGTCAGTAACTGTTACTATCTTAGAGGGCTTTGGAGCATTAAATGGGCTAGGTTGTTATTAGAAATGAGTTATTCTGGAAGTGGCCAAAAATGTTATACTTACTGTGCATGAGTGATTTGCCTGCATGCATGTCTGTGCATCATGTACATTTCTGCTGCCGGAAGAGGTCAGAAGAGGGTGGTGGATCTGCTAGAGCTGGAGTTACAGACAGTTGTGAGACTTGAGAATTGAGCCTGGGTCTTCTGCAAGAGCAGCAAGTGCTGTGAACCACTTAGCCCTTTCTCTAGCCCAAAATATTATTTTTTCCAGGACTATACAAAGAAGCCTGTCTCGAGGAAACAAACAGACAGACAAACAAAAAACAAAAAATAGACAATTATTTTCAATGGTTTGTAATTTGAGAGAGGAGATTTATATACCAGCATAGTCCCTAAACAGTATGATAGGGAGTTTAGAATGCTCTTTATCTGCAGAGACAAGGTTTAGTCACTCACTTTCTTCCTCATCCTCACTAATTTTTTTTTTTTTTTTTTGGTTTTTCGAGACAGGGTTTCTCTGTGTAGCTTTGCGCCTTTCCTGGGACTCACTTGGTAGCCCAGGCTGGCCTCGAACTCACAGAGATCCGCCTGGCTCTGCCTCCCGAGTGCTGGGATTAAAGGCTTGCGCCACCACCGCCCGGCCACTAATTTTTTTTTTTCCTTTGCTTTTGTTAAAATCTATTCCTCAACCCCGAATGGAGATCAACCTAAAAGGATAAGAAAACTTGGCTGCCCCCCTTTAACCTCAGCACTCTGGAGACAGAGGTGGGCAGATGACAGTGAGTTCCAGGCCAGCCTGGGCTGTTAAACAGAGAAACTCTGTCTTGGAAAACCAACAAAACAAAACAAAACCAAAGGTAAAGAAAACTGGAGGAAGTGGGCATAATAGCACACACTTTTGGTCCCAGCACAAGAGGCAGAGGAAGATGGATCTCGTCCAGATTGAGGTCAGCCTGGGCTGTATAGGTAGACCCGGTCCCCAAACCAAACACCCGCCTCCACCGAAACCTGCAGGAGAAAGCTGTAGATCCTTAGCATGGACTGCAGGTACCTAAGCAGGCATGGTGGTATGTGAGTGTTGATGCTGCAGGGTGTCTGAGGTGGTAGCAGCTGAGGTGAGTTTGGTGCTGCTGGAGGGGGGGCGGACAGAAGCAGAATAGTGAAGTGAGGCCAGACAGTGTGGAGAGATGAGAGGGCACCGAGAGTGAAGTAGTTTCTGCTGGAGAGCCTCTGAATTGACTAGAGAGTGGCAGAGCCTCCAGTGAAAGACCATTGCACAGCGGCTTGCATTTGGGTAGTGTTTTGTTTTTAATTTTAAGTAAAATACCTTTTTTGAGACTGTCTTCAAACTGGAAATGTAATGGGGCCTGGAATTACTGATCTTTCTGATTCTCCTTCTAATCCTCAGCTCCCCCTCACTACCAGGTCCTCTAGACCCCGACTACATGAGTAGGGTTTTGTTGTTGGTTTTTCGATACAAAGTTTCTCTGTGTAACAGCTCTAGCTGTCCTGGAGCTGGCTTTGTAGACAAGGCTGGCCACCTGACCTTCAAGTCGCCTGCCTCTGCCCCCCCCCCAAAAAAAAACCCCCACTGGGTTTACAGGTGTAAGCCACCGCACCCGGCTGTAAGTGGATATTTTTAAGCATATGAAAACATTTCTTAAGCCAGTTGTAGAGTAGGAACTCGGTCAAGGTGATTGTCTCTCCTCTTTCTCATCTGATTAGCTTGTCTGCATTTCTTAGAAGAATAGCACCAAGACTGGAATTTTCCTTCATGGTAATTTTTTTTAATTTCAATTTTTATTTTGTGTGTGTTTGTTCCTGCCATGGTGAGCATGTGGAGGTCAGTGGGACAACTTGTAGGATTCAGTTATGTCCTTCACAGTGTGGATCCTGGGGTTCTCCCTCAGGTCACCAGTTACCCACTGAGCCATCTTCCTGGTCCACTGGTAAAGTGCTTGATCAGCATTTGGAGTAAGCTGAAGGGGTGCCGATAAGCCTCATCACACTAAGTCACAAGACAGAACTGATTGTACATCCCAGTACATACCAGACCACAGTGAGGACAGGCCATGATTTTAGTCACTTCTAATGGTTGGGTTTGAACATGATCCAGTAACACTTGAGAACAGGCTTTCAGGTTTGAGGGAGCACCAGAGTTGAGACTCTAGTGGGCTGACCCACTGACACTGGGCTTAGAGAAAGAGCAGAAACGTAAGGGACAGGAACCCGGGGTCCACAGACTGAAGAACATTGCTCTCCTGTAGCTCTCTTCTACCAGTTCCTATAGGTTCCCAGAGGTGTTGTGCGCTCTCTGAGTTTCCTCACCAAGTGCTTTCCTAGCGCTTGAGAAAGGAGATGGAGCCTCAGGGAATGACAGTCTGCACTGAGATGTGGAATAAGATGCAGGCTGGGAGAACCAGTCACTACAATTTTCAGTTAGGTCTGTTTGATGATTTTGCTCTGGCTCTGAAGACTGCAGAGAAGCCACTGTGATTGGATGGAAGCCACTGTGAGCCCCTCTGAGTGCTGGGGGTGGAATCCAAGACCTTGCATTTTAACTCTGAGCTGTACCCCCAGCCACAAGAGGACTATTTTTTATTACAAGTGTTGTACAACTGGGCACTTTTAAGAAGTGTTCTTAGCCAGACGATGGTGGCACACACCTTTAATCCCAGTACACGGAAGGCAGAGGCAGGCAGATCTCTGTGAGTTGTGAAGCCAGTCTGGTCTACAGAACGAGAGAAACCTTGTCTCAGAAAAAAAAAAAAAAAAAAAAAAAAGAAGCGTTCTTCAGGCTGGAGATGGGCTCAGAAGTCAAGAGCACTTACTGCTCTTTCAGAGGACCTGAGTTGGTTCCCAACACCTCCATCACAGCTCACAACCACCTCTAACTCCCGCTCTAAGGGATCTGATGCCCTCTTCTGACCACCTTGGGTACTGCACTTGCATGTACAGACTAATGCAGCACCAACTACAGCCCCACCACACTCCACCCCTTTTTAAAAAGATTTGTTTTTGTGCTTGTGTGTGTGTCTGCCTTTATAGACTACTGAGTGTGGCTATCCACAGAAGACAGTGTTGGACCCACTGGCTGGAGTTTGAAGCAGTTGTGAGCCACCTACTTGGGTGCTGGGAACCAAATCCAGGTCCTCTGCAAGAACAGCAAGCATTCTTAACCACTGAGCTATCTTTCTAGACCCCGAGAAACAGTTGTTTCCCCTGTTAATTCTGTTAATCTACCCTGTTAATTCCTGTTAAACTACCCATTTATCTTGTTGCAGTTAGTGTTGAAGAATAGGTAATTATAGATTATCTGACATGGCTCCCTGACTTTGGACAGAAGATACCAAGGGACAGACAGACAGATCCTTGCTCATTGCATCAATTTTGCACATTTCCTCAACAACCCGTATTCTTTTCCTTTTGTCTCCTGTACTGCCCCATTTGTATTGCTGGGGATCGAACTCAGGCCCTAGAGCATGTTAAACACAGTCTCTGGCAGACTACACTCCCGCCTCACATTTTACCCTCCTCTTTGGTTGTGTTCATCCATAAATATGACTTTGTTTGTGCTGACAACCCTATTGGTACTTAGGAAGTTCTTTAGTGACCT